GCTAAACTGCGCCCGTATCAGGCCGAACACTCTGATATTATACTAGGCACCAGTTTAAAAAAAGTGAATTGGAAATGTCGGAGTGAAATGACGCGACCTACACCATTCGAAACTAGACCGAATGAAATTTCAAATTCCAAGGTTTCACCTTTTTGGGGCTAAACTGCGCCCGTATCAGGCCGAACACTCTGATATTATACTAGGCACCAGTTTAAAAAAAGTGAATTGGAAATGTCGGAGTGAAATGACGCGACCTGCACCATTCGAAACTAGACCGAATGAGATTTCAAATTCCAAAGTTTCACCTTTTTTGGAGCTAAACTGCGCTCGTACCAGCCCGAACACTCTGATATTATACTAGGCACCAGTTTAAAAAAAGTGAATTGGAAATGTCGGAGTGAAATGACGCGACCTACACCATTCGAAACTAGACCGAATGAAATTTCAAATTCCAAGGTTTCACCTTTTTTGGGGCTAAACTGCGCCCGTATCAGGCCGAACACTCTGATATTATACTAGGCACCAGTTTAAAAAAAGTGAATTGGAAATGTCGGAGTGAAATGACGCGACCTACACCATTCGAAACTAGACCGAATGAGATTTCAAATTCCAAAGTTTCACCTTTTTTGGAGCTAAACTGCGCTCGTACCAGCCCGAACACTCTGATATTATACTAGGCACCAGTTTAAAAAAAGTGAATTGGAAATGTCGGAGTGAAATGACGCGACCTACACCATTCGAAACTAGACCGAATGAAATTTCAAATTCCAAGGTTTCACCTTTTTTGGGGCTAAACTGCGCCCGTATCAGGCCGAACACTCTGATATTATACTAGGCACCAGTTTAAAAAAAGTGAATTGGAAATGTCGGAGTGAAATGACGCGACCTACACCATTCGAAACTAGACCGAATGAAATTTCAAATTCCAAGGTTTCACCTTTTTTGGGGCTAAACTGCGCCCGTATCAGGCCGAACACTCTGATATTATACTAGGCACCAGTTTAAAAAAAGTGAATTGGAAATGTCGGAGTGAAATGACGCGACCTGCACCATTCGAAACTAGACCGAATGAGATTTCAAATTCCAAAGTTTCACCTTTTTTGGAGCTAAACTGCGCTCGTACCAGCCCGAACACTCTGATATTATACTAGGCACCAGTTTAAAAAAAGTGAATTGGAAATGTCGGAGTGAAATGACGCGACCTACACCATTCGAAACTAGACCGAATGAAATTTCAAATTCCAAGGTTTCACCTTTTTTGGGGCTAAACTGCGCCCGTATCAGGCCGAACACTCTGATATTATACTAGGCACCAGTTTAAAAAAAGTGAATTGGAAATGTCGGAGTGAAATGACGCGACCTGCACCATTCGAAACTAGACCGAATGAGATTTCAAATTCCAAAGTTTCACCTTTTTTGGAGCTAAACTGCGCTCGTACCAGCCCGAACACTCTGATATTATACTAGGCACCAGTTTAAAAAAAAGTGAATTGGAAATGTCGGAGTGAAATGACGCGACCTACACCATTCGAAACTAGACCGAATGAAATTTCAAATTCCAAGGTTTCACCTTTTTTGGGGCTAAACTGCGCCCGTATCAGGCCGAACACTCTGATATTATACTAGGCACCTGTTTAAAAAAAGTGAATTGGAAATGTCGGAGTGAAATGATGTGACCTACACCATTCGAAACTAGACCGAATGAGATTTCAAATTCCAAAGTTTCACCTTTTTCGGAGCTAAACTGCGCCCGTACCAGCCCGAACACTCTGAGATTATACTAGGCACCAGTTTAAAAAAAAGTGAATTGGAAATGTCGGAGTGAAATGACGCGACCTGCACCATTCGAAACTAGACCGAATGAGATTTCAAATTCCAAAGTTTCACCTTTTTTGGAGCTAAACTGCGCTCGTACCAGCCCGAACACTCTGATATTATACTAGGCACCAGTTTAAAAAAAGTGAATTGGAAATGTCGGAGTGAAATGACGCGACCTACACCATTCGAAACTAGACCGAATGAAATTTCAAATTCCAAGGTTTCACCTTTTTTGGGGCTAAACTGCGCCCGTATCAGGCCGAACACTCTGATATTATACTAGGCACCAGTTTAAAAAAAGTGAATTGGAAATGTCGGAGTGAAATGACGCGACCTACACCATTCGAAACTAGACCGAATGAAATTTCAAATTCCAAGGTTTCACCTTTTTTGGGGCTAAACTGCGCCCGTATCAGGCCGAACACTCTGATATTATACTAGGCACCAGTTTAAAAAAAGTGAATTGGAAATGTCGGAGTGAAATGACGCGACCTGCACCATTCGAAACTAGACCGAATGAGATTTCAAATTCCAAAGTTTCACCTTTTTTGGAGCTAAACTGCGCTCGTACCAGCCCGAACACTCTGATATTATACTAGGCACCAGTTTAAAAAAAGTGAATTGGAAATGTCGGAGTGAAATGACGCGACCTACACCATTCGAAACTAGACCGAATGAAATTTCAAATTCCAAGGTTTCACCTTTTTTGGGGCTAAACTGCGCCCGTATCAGGCCGAACACTCTGATATTATACTAGGCACCTGTTTAAAAAAAGTGAATTGGAAATGTCGGAGTGAAATGATGTGACCTACACCATTCGAAACTAGACCGAATGAGATTTCAAATTCCAAAGTTTCACCTTTTTTGGAGCTAAACTGCGCCCGTACCAGCCCGAACACTCTGAGATTATACTAGGCACCAGTTTAAAAAAAAGTGAATTGGAAATGTCGGAGTGAAATGACGCGACCTGCACCATTCGAAACTAGACCGAATGAAATTTCAAATTCCAAAGTTTCACCTTTTTTGGAGCTAAACTGCGCCCGTACCAGCCCGAACACTCTGATATTATACTAGGCACCAGTTTAAAAAAAGTGAATTGGAAATGTCGGAGTGAAATGACGCGACCTACACCATTCGAAACTAGACCGAATGAAATTTCAAATTCCAAGGTTTCACCTTTTTTGGGGCTAAACTGCGCCCGTATCAGGCCGAACACTCTGATATTATACTAGGCACCTGTTTAAAAAAAGTGAATTGGAAATGTCGGAGTGAAATGATGTGACCTACACCATTCGAAACTAGACCGAATGAGATTTCAAATTCCAAAGTTTCACCTTTTTCGGAGTTAAACTGCGCCCGTACCAGCCCGAACACTCTGAGATTATACTAGGCACCAGTTTAAAAAAAGTGAATTGGAAATGTCGGAGTGAAATGACGCGACCTGCACCATTCGAAACTAGACCGAATGAAATTTCAAATTCCAAAGTTTCACCTTTTTTGGAGCTAAACTGCGCCCGTACCAGCCCGAACACTCTGATATTATCTAAATTGGTGATCACCTATCCTAGCGGTCGATCACTCTTATTATTTCCACTAACTAAGCCTTCTCCTGCCCATGCAGACAACGACGAACGGACGTCAATAGTATCGTTGACCCGAAGGTCGTAGAGCTGATTTCCAAACATCTCCATGCTTCTTCTTGCTGTCCGCCAAATTTTTTCCGAGTGTTATTAGATCTGACAATTTGTACTTTGAATGCTTTCAGCATCGGCAATCATTCTTCATCGGCATTAACTTATGACCATTACACTAATAAGGGACTTTCGAAACGTGCATAAACAATCAGATTGATATCCGCTTTGAAGCGTTCGCTTTGCAAAACTAACGGACCATTTGTTTATTTCCATCGTACTGCATAAATAGCGGGCGTTGAGATGGTCCCAAATTGTCTGTTTTTCCTTTCCCTGTGAAGCAGAAAAAATTGGACAGAGAATCTTCGAGTTCGGCAGCGGCTTCCGAAAGTCCATTTTTAAGAGATCATTCGAAGGGATTAGGGGTTAGCGGATCGTTGAAGATTGGACTTTAAGTCTTGGAAGTGCATTTTATTCAAAATGGTATTGGTTTTACGGAAGGTTGGAAGCTTGGAGAAACGGTTAAAATTACGCCAAGCGGGTGGGATTACTCATAAATTGTATCTCTTTTTACCAAACAAAAATAGTCATTCTTTTCTAAATCGAATTTAATTTTCTATTGAGTGGGGTTCTGGCTGCCCTAGAATTAAAAATCACGGCGCTACGACTTTGCGGGCCGATGATTTTATTGTGAAAGCCGACGATTTTATAGTTTTATTATTTCCACTAACCTCTATTGCAAATCGTTGGGAGGTTGTCTTTAGACATTTTTCTTGAATTAGCTATTGAATTTGTTGGAGGCAACGGCTGGTTTTCCAATTGACGACCACGGCAGGATCGAACCTGCAATCTTCGGTTCTCCAACCGATACCACAGCTAATCCCCAAAGGATATCTAATGGGAAAACCTCCCAAAGACGCAGCAGACGGCTTTGTTAGTACAAATAATGAGGTTGATCTGATTGTGGCATAGTTTACCACCGGTTTCGTGTCATTTTAGGTGTGTCACTGCAATAATGTCTCCTTAAAACTTACGGATTTTCATTTTTTGGAGCTAATTTTTGTCCTTTCTATGTTATAATAGCTCAAGTTCAAAAGCTCAAGGAAACCCAAAAAAAAAAAACACCTGTGGACTTTGAATTTCATTTATGGGCAACGATTTTTCGGATTACGTGGGAGCATCTTATTGCCCTTTATTGGGGTTTATGGTTGTTTTTCCGGTTATTGCAAAAGCTTTCGAGATATGTATGTATATTAGGCATGAGTCATATCGTATTTTTGTTTATATTTTTTCCATTTCTTGGTCGTTTCAGAAGCCAAATTTAATTTCTGAATCTTTCTGGCCCTAGATTTGCTTTCTTGGCCGAGGAGACATTTTATACGACAAAAAATATTTTTTGATTTTTGAAGAAATTTTGTGTCAAAATGGCGCATTTTAGAAATCATGTTCACGCCTAGTCTTATTTTTTTGCCCGAGGAGACATTTTATACGATAATTTTTTTTTTTTGATTTTTCATAAAATTTTGCGTAAAAATCCCTATTTTAGAAATCATGTTCACTACCAGTGTTATTCTTCTCCTTCTGGCCCCATGTCTCGTTCTCTCCTCGCCTCAGCGAGACTACCCAATGGACGATCAGTGGGAAGAGCACAAAGTTCTGGGCCGAGTCAGCTGCAAAAAGGACCAAGCGCTGGTGACGGACACCAAAATCAGCCTCTGGCTGAAAGCCTGGGACGTTTTCGTCCCCACCTTCCACGAATGCACGTGAGTTTTGCCTTATTTTACACTTTCACATTACATTTTTCAAATCAAACATTTTTTTTCAAATTACAGTAACCACCCCAATGGAACCGCCCTCCGCTACACGTTGGTGCACCCCGATAAGGATGGAAGATTCAAAATCAAATGCAGTATTGACATGTCGGCGCAAGGAATCACCGCAAATTACCTTCAACTTTATCTACAACATCACTGCAGTGAGAGCGGAGAATTGGTCGAAAAATACTACGATGTGGATTTCCAAACGCCTTATTTCATCAACCAAACTATTGAGCTCTTTACTGTTGATTTGGACTAATTTTTTGACCATTTTCATAAAATTTTTGATATTACACTTGCGATCTGACGTTTTTGCTGAATTTTTCAGCGAAGAAATAAGCAAATTCATAAGAAAAAGGAATTATTATACTATAAAAAGGTTGCAGATTATCATACGACAACAATTTTGCGAAAATTCCACTGAAAATTTTAAATTTCCCGCGCTTTTCGCACGTCTGACAATTCCTTGGCATTCCGCTTCAAGACGAAAAATATTTTTTGTCCGGAGATTTTCAGATAAAATTCGCGTGTTTTGCCGTCTGCTTGACTCATTTCGACGCGGTTAGGACTGCAAGCCAACTCAATTTGACCTTTTTTATGTTGCACCAGACATCAGTTCTTATCACGCCATATTTTTTTCAAATTTAATATCAGTATGGGACAAAATCTGTTGACCTTTGACTGTTTAGGTCCTAAAATGTCCGCGAAGAACAATTTCGAGCTAATTTAATCTCGTTTTGGACGAAATTCCATATTACGGAGGAAGGATCCGGAATTCTTTTTTGTTCGCCACGACCGAAAGGAACGGCCGAAAAGCGAAAATATATTGTTCATGGTGGCGTCAGGGGCATTTGAAGCCTCTTCGGTTTGTGGTTCCCCGCGATTTGCGTAATTTGTTTATCTTATACTTGAGAAGGCATAAGTAATGTTTTTACCCGCTCCTTTCCCCCTGTTTGGTGGAGCGGCGTGTTGAAAATCTGTTTACGGGGGTTGCTATGGACTTTTGGACTAAATCGTGTTTTTAAGACCTTCACCAGTTCACTTTTTAATTTCCTCCCCGACTTGCAGGTAGTCTACTATAATATCCTCGGATTTCCCCTCCTCCCTGCCGAATATTTATTTTAATTTATTGCTGCCGACTTGGATCAAGCCCCGATGAGCACGTTGAAACGAGTGCAAGATGCGTTGGAGGAGATCAAAAAGGAGATGGGCCCAAAATTCACCGAGACGCTAACGGGTGCCTTGAAAGAGCAAGCCATCGAAAGGATAAACCGGGTACTGGACTACACGATTCACGGAGGCAAGTTTGCAAGGTCTTGCCTCGTCCTCAACACATTTCTGGCGCTGAAAACCGACGCCAAAGAAGAGGAGATCAAGAAAGCGGCGAGGATCGCGGTTGTGATGGAAATTGTAAGTATTTTCGGATTTTTGCTTTGAAATTTAGGTAAAGCAACACTAAAATGGACCAAAAGGTGAAAGAGATCTTCTGTGAGCTGATAGGAATAGAGGCATATCCAATTTTTGACTTGATCACCTTTGTTTTACCTGTTTTATTTCAAAATTCCATTAAAATCTACCTAAAATAATATTTCTCCTCAAAATCTCACTTTTTCTTTTGAAATCGTTACCACTTTGCTTTCTAAATTACCAGAATATTTCCCACGATGACTGACCTTTTAATTAACCCAAGTTTCGAAAGCTCTGATATTATTCATCGCCGCGTTTTTTTTACAAAGAGCAAAACAAAAAGTCCCCCTTCGAAGCGCTGCCCGCTTTGAGCCGAAAGAAGAGAGCCGTGGACGTGTCCTCGGTAGTATAGTGGTAAGTATCCGCGCCTGTCACGTGCGAGACCCGGGTTCGATTCCCGGCCGGGGAGGAAACGTTTTTGCTCTTTTTTTATAGTAAAATTACAACGAGTAAAATAAAGCAGAGGATGTTATAATTTCACAGAGGCCTAAATTTAGTTCTGCTATGCATTTTGCTCAATTTTATTAGCTTTTCTTTCAGTTACAATCCTTTTTCCTCATTGTGGATGATGTAATGGACAATGGTGAAGTTCGAAGGGGAAAACCGTGCTGGCATCGGCTGGTAAGTAGCTCAATATGCTCTAGGATACTCAATAAGAATATTTTACGTTCTGATTTTGACTGTTTCAGCCGAATATTGGACTGGTAGCAATAAATGATGGCCTAATGTTGGATCAGATGATAGATCTCATAGTCAGAGAGACAGTGCCAACCCATCCTCGATTATACGACATGCTCAGGTTTATTTATGAGGTAAGCGAACTTTTCGTTTTGTTTTTTTTCACATTTAGACACCTTTTTTGGAGGCTCATTGCTCTGATACCTACTATAATATACCTCAAATTCCAGACGAAACGGCGCTCCGTTCTCGGCGAACTCTTCGATACGACCTCAAAAACCCTTGACGAATGCACATTCGACCGATACGAACAAATCATTCTGCATAAGACGACATATTACACTTACATTTTACCTATACAATTGGGCTTCTCACTCGCAAATCGTGACGATTTCGACGAGCTTTTACCCGTAGCGGAACGGCTTGGCCTTTTATTCAGCGCTTTGGTAAGTTTGCACACCGATTTTGAGCAATTTGGAGTTTTCCATGTTTTCGTGGTGAGACCCAAAAAAATTTCCAATTTTTTCAGGATGACTATTTGGACTGTTTCGGTGACCCCGCGCTGACCGGCAAGACAATTATGAACGATCTGGTGGAAGGGAAATGCACTTGGATCACGTGCACCGCCTTAGGGCTTCTTCAAACTCCCGAAAACTCGAAGACCCTGGCGGACTTTGAAAAGGCCTTTGGAAACGCCGAAAAACGATATGTAAATCGAGCCCTAGAGATCCTCAAGTCCTTGAAAATCGATCAACTCTATGAGAAGTATGAGGCGGAAGAGAGGAACTCGTTGAAACAGCAGATTTCCACGCTGAAAAATAAGGAAATCCAGCCGATCCTAGAGGAATGTGTGGATTTCATTATAAATCTCAGTCGGAAAATGCGAAAAACCAAAGAATAATGAGCCTTCAAGAAGCCTACAGTGGCGGGCCTGATCCAGAGTCAAAAAACGTACCATTCTGCATCCGGGAAGTATCAAAAATGTCGCAAAATACCTCCCTTTCCAAGAGAAAAAACTCCGATTTCAAAAGCGCGCCCTTTCCCTCACAAAAGAGCGCTTTAAAAATCGGAGTCTTTGCACTTGGGAAGGGAGGTATTTTGCCACATTTTTGATACTTCCTGGATGCAAAATGGTACGTTTTTTGCCACTGGATCAGGTCCGCCACTGTACACGGTCATTTTTTCGGTTTCCCTTACAAGGGAGGTCACTTTTTTCGCAGACGGACTTCGGAACGGGACCTAGTAGGTTTCAAACCTGAAGCGTCTGCGATCATACAACTGATTTCCAAAAGTGTTTACGGGGCTTCTCGGCCGAGAAAATCGACCGCAAAGTTTAGCCGAAATGAGCGAATAGCCTCCTCAAAAGAAACAGCTTATTTCATCTGCAGTGGTGGCCGAGTGGTCAGCGCGCTCGCTTTTTGCGCCAGAAGAGGCGGGTTCGATCCTCTGCGCAGTTTATTTTCATTTTCGGTTCGTAAATATTGATTTAGTATGCAAACATAAAATGTATACACTTTTGTAATTTTTTACAGTAATTTAAACATCAATTCAAAGCTGAATGTTCATGAATATTGTAAATTCAAAACGGGGCTGGGTTAATGAAGATATAGTTTCTAAATTTGTGTTTTATTAAACATTGCTAATAATTAGCACATGTGATGTTAACGGCATCTCTCTATTTGATTCAATGGTCAAAAGAAATGCATCCGCAGACGACCGAGGTCGAACTCACGTCTTCTGGCGCAAAAAGCTAACGCGTTGACCACTCGGCCACCACTGCAGATGAAATAAGCTTTTTCTTTTGAGGAGGCTATTCGCTCATTTCGGCTAAACTTTGCGGTCGATTTTCTCGGCCGAGAAGCACCGTAAACACTTTTGGAAATCAGTTTTATGATCGCAGACGCTTCACGTTTGAAACCTACTAGGTGCCGTTCCAAAGTCCGTCTGCGAAAAAAGTGACTTCCCTTGTTAGCTTTTCGGTTGTCTCCCTGATTATCAGGCATTTCGTGGTGGGACTCAAGAAACCCGGAAATTTTGGGATTTTTCAGTTTGCACTGGTATAATTTGATGCATAATGCACTAGGATAACTTTTGAAAAATAGCATATCAAATTTGCCCCTTAAAAATTTGAATATTCAAATTTTTTCTCCCACCACGAAAACTCGAAAATCAAAAATCCCCGGGGTTGAAAACGGTTGTAACACCCGGATTATGATCTTTCAAGTCTTAATTTTGCTATCCGACAAGTTTTTTGAAGTTTTTTCCCACTTCTTCACCTCTTATATTACACTTGCTCTCCTAATAGGTCTAATCGAAAATTGATGCAAATCATTCCCCCCAACCCTCGGTTTCAGCCCCCGCTCCTGGTCTAACGCTAATAATTTATTGTAATATCGGTGTTTTTGGCGCTAATAAGGTGATTTTCCCAAAGATTACGGCAATTTTGCCTCTATTTTAACTATTTTTTAGCATTGCTCAAATTTTACTGTATGTCACTGAATAAAACTCCCTAATAATAATCCGTTTAAGTTTTGTTTGGCTTGGTGAAGCAGAAATTTCCACAAAAAGTCATAAATATTTTCTTGGATAATATAAAAATATATTTATTTTTGCCTAATCTATTCAACCAAGTGTTGCGGGCCGTCGCTGATCCGTTTGGGGGCTCGTTGCGCCATCTCCATGAGACCGCCGTTGTACATTCGGGCCGGATGGTCGGGGAATAGGGCGTCTTGGAGGACCGATATTACAGATGCTTGCATTCCGGTGTTACAGTAAGTTATGACTGGTTTTGTGGGATCTTCGGGGGCGAATAGGCCTGAAATTCGAATTTAGTCGAACCTTGGTCTTATTTTAGCAAAACCTTCAAAGATTTCCGACAAATTTCGGGTTTTTAATTTGGCGAGTTGCGCCCAGGTCGGCTTTTGAAAATGGCCAAATTATGGAATGAAATAAAAGTAAAAGTGCCTGTGGCGTATTTTACAACATCCCCACCGTTTTCTCATTCTAAATTAGCGGTTTGTTGTTGGCAAGCTGCGCCCTGGCTTCAAATTAAAATCAGGTCCAAAAGCCCAAAAATTAAATTCAAAGTCATGCCCAATGCCCTTGGATCGTATTGATTTGAAATTTACCTTTTTTGAGTTCCTCCAGCGGCTTCAGAAGACCATCGTCGCCAACGGCTTCAGACGCCGGAATATTCGTTGTATGTGGAATTCTGGTGCCATTTACTTCTGAAAAAAGTAGCAAAATTAAATGACAATTTCTCCAAACCACGTATTTTACCAACTTCCAGGACTGTGCCCCGATAGCGCAACTGGTAAAAAAATTCAAAAAAATTTGGAAAAAGTTCGAGTCCAAGTGGAAGAAATTGTAAAATACGAAGTCGCCTTCCATTGCATCGTATCAAAATCAACCTCACAGCTCACAATGACCCTGACTTACTGTTCGGATCAAGTCCTGTATCCTGTTTTCCATCAAATTGAGCGCGAATTCTCGAATCCAGGAGATTATATTGGTCCGGATGGTCCAAAACACCTCCTTCTTTGTTGAATTCCTCAAATGGCATTATGAATTGCGCCACTGTGTCCTTCGCTTTCCAATTTCCTTTCTGAACTTGGGGGTAGTCCTTTGATTTCTCCACTTCTTGCCCTTCCTTTTGCCAAGCCGCGAAACCCCCGTCCAAAATTGACAATTTCTCGTGACCGTAGGACTGAAAAATTTTTTATTGAATTGTTTTAATAATTTTAAAACCCTTTCCCAAATACATTTGCAAAAAAAAAAACGAGCTGGGACTCGAACTCGGGCCAATTTTTTTCCAAATTCAACCCACTGCCTCTGCGCCACAGAGGCACATTGACTTCAAATTGTCGGAAATTAATTCCCAGTGGCACGCCACGAAAAACGTAAGGCAAAATTGGAAATAGAGATTTCGAGCTGCGCCCAATATTTTTGATTTTTTTGATGGAATGAATATTGTGTAAGATAGTATTGTAACTCTGAGATATGGAACAATTTCGGGAAGTATATTATCTTTAAAATTACGTTGCTTTGAGTTTCAAGTGTTGAATGTAACGGATAAGTCCATGGAGCCCGGCCCACCGCGCTGTGACCCAAACATTGATTCTGCAGCTATGGACGTGTCTTCAGAAAAGGTAACATTTCTCTTTTTGCACCCAGATTTTTGATTAATCGCCATGTGGTGTTGTGTGAGACATCTTAGCGGACGTTATAAAGAAGAAATCGGAAAATTTTACTATAGAAAAAGGGCACTTGTCAGTTCATTATTGCATCATTTTGCAGGAGCTGATGGTGTCTCCAGAAAAGGTAGGATTTCTCTTTACTCATCCGGTTTAGGTACAAAGGAGCTGATCTGATTTGTGTGAGACATCCTAGCGGACGTTATAAAGAAGAGATCTGGAAGTTTTACAGTTGAAAAAGGGCGCTTGTCGGTTCATTACTGCATCGTTCTGCAAGAGCTGATGGTGTCTCCAGAAAAGGTAGGATTTCTCTTTTTGCACCCAGATTTTTGATTAATCGCCATGTGGTGTTGTGTGAGACATCTTAGCGGACGTTATAAAGAAGAAATCTGGAAATTTTACTATCGAAAAAGGGCACTTGTCGGTTCGTTATTGTACCATTTTGCAGGAACTGACGGAGAAACGCAAGAAAGGGCTGGAGAAGGCGTGAGCAAAGCTGGATCAGAGGAAGCAGACGACGTTTAGAACATTTCAAGGTAAGTTTGTGACGTTGCCTTTTTGATTTTTTGTTTTTCTAGGCCATTGAGCTAATAATTTTCTCTGGTTATACCTAAAATAATATAATTGATATTTCAGCCGGTCCATGTTGAAGTAGAATGTGAAAGCCAGCATAATGTACCAATGGGTGTGGAGATTGAATTCCGAGTTCAGATTGCATCCGACAAATTCGATGAATTGTCGAAAATTTATGTAGTTTTAATTATTCTTATTGGTTTGATGTTTAGGTGGACATAAAGAAGATTTGATGAATTTCAATTTATCAGTCTGTCGGAAAAATAACGGCGGATCGTCGCGCCTCGGAATCGCTCATCATCGCTTTGCGACTGCAAGCCGCGACTTGGGATTTGGTGCGCGATAGCGGCGAGGCGAGACATTTTACTGCGACGATCCGCCGTTATTTTTCCGACAGACTGATAGTATTGGTCTGTTGTAGCAGGACCAAAGCCCTGCAAACCCCGGAAGAGCTCGAATTCGGTCAGATTCATCGATTTTGATCCAATTTTGCCTAGTACAATATGATTTCTTTTCTCTTCTTTGATCAATCTAAGAAGTTTGGGGTGCACCTCCTAGATGCCTTTCGATGCTTTCTCGCCGGTTTCACACGTAAATTGTTGTTTATTATTACGCTTTTTCAAAAGTGCAGACACATTTTCCGGCCTTTTTTGCACCGCACAGTGCAAGTTTCGTGTTCCCCGCGCGACGCGATCCGATTCGAAACATTTTGCACTGTGCAATTTCAAAAAATTCGCGCCGGCTCCGTTGAGAAAAGCTTGCGCCGCAGCGATATCCGGCTGCACAGTGCAAAAGGTCAAAATGCACCCCGCAAAAGGGAGTTTTGTGCACGGTGCGGCCCACGACAAAATGTGTCTGCACTTTTGAAAAAGCGTAATACTAGTCGCGACATAAAGTCCTGACACATTTTGCACCGTGCGAATGTTCGGAGTTTGGACGTCGCACCGTGCATTCTTCTTTCATTTCATCCGCACGGTGCATCTTTTCGCATTTCTCGCCGCGATTTCCCGTTTTTGCACTAGCGACGTGCACATTCGCGCGCGACAAACCCGAATTTGGGGGCGCGACGTCCAAACCCCGAACTTTCGCACGGTGCAAAATGTGTCAGGACTTTATGGCGCGACTAGTAGAATTTTGGAACCATTTTTGTTACTATTACGCTTTTTCAAAAGTGCAGACACATTTTGTCGTGGGCCGCACCGTGCACAAAACCCCTTTTTGCGGGGTGCATTTGACCTTTTGCACCGTGCAAATGCAATATCGCTGCGACGCAAGCTTTTCTCAACGGAGGCGGCGCGAACTTTGGGGAATTGCACAGTGCAAAATGTTTCGAAAAGGATCGCGTCGCGCAACATGCACGGTGCGGTTTCAAAAAAGGCCGGAAAATGTGTCTGCACTTTTGAAAAAGCGTAATAATCGCGCTCAAAAGTCCTGACAATTTCCGCACCGTGCATTCTCTTTCATTTCATCCGCACTGTGCATTTTTTCGCATTTGTCGCCGCGATTTCCCCGAATTTGCGGGCGCGACGTCCAAAAACCGAACTTTCGCACCGTGCATTCTTCTTTCATTTCGCATTTGTCGCCGCAATTTCCCGTTTTTGCACTAGCGACATGCACTTTTGCGCGCGACGAACCCGAATTTGCAGGGGCGACGTCCAAAACCCAAAGTTTCGCACGGTGCGAAAATTGTCAGGACTTTTGAGCGCGATTAGTATTTACTTGAAAAGGTTTCAGCGTATGAAATGTCGCAAAACATTTTCCCGCGAATTTCTCTATTTCCACTTTTTTCGTGGCGTGCAGTGGGCTAAACCGTATTTTACCCTAAATTTCAACAAAAAAAATTGAAAAACTCACTCGGAATAGCCAATATGCCTTGGAAGAGAACATCATCCCACCAAAAGGCCCGCGACTGTAAAAAACAAGATGATCCGACTGATTGATCCCCAATAATTGTGCGTACTGCTCGAATTCGGCTGGCGGGTACATACTGAAGCGTTCGAATTCGCCGGGATACATGGCTGCGTCGATATCAAAATGAACTGATCCGGGGATATGAGACTGCAGATAGAGGGCTTTCTGTCTGAAAATTTTTGAGTATTTAGATGTAAATAGTAGTATCAAACCGACGAGAGACTATTTCAATCATCAGTTTAGTCATTTCTAACAGTTGCAAGTTTTCGTGGCGAGACCTCTGGCAGATACAAGTGCAATATCAAAAAGCCTTCACAAACGAATCAAACAGAGATGATGGATGGTAAAAGTTATTTAGAAACAATCAACAACCCCTTTCGTTATTACAATTCCTTGCTTCGATCAAAAATTGCCTTCTTTCTTCATGGATAATATACTCTTGTAAAATTCGGTGGACTGCAGTCTCGAAAAAGATCAAACTACTCCTAAACAGCAAAAATGAACTGTAAACATCCCTTGCACATCTATTTGAAATAGATTTACAATCAAAATTCGCCATCTTTTCAACCAAGTATAATATATTTGATATCCAAAATTTTCCCATTTTTCAACCCGGAAGAACCCCGTAAAGCTTAGACATAGCTCCCTTACTGTGTTGGTCGTGCCATCAACCTCTCAAACTTTGCATACCATTGCTCTTTGAATTGTTTATAATCGGGTTTAGGCCCGACTGCATAGGTGCAATCCAAAACTCTGATTCCAGCCGTTTTGTCCTAAAAACCAACTCAAAAATATTCGAAACACTTACCGATATCAGCTTAGCCAAACTCTTCACATCCAATATCCTTTTCAGACTCATTTCGTCCTCCTCCCCTGCGAAAATCATGGTGAACATCAAGAAAACAGCGAAAAATCGGAGAAAGGACCGCATCTCTCGCCGAAAGTTGTTTATCACAAGAAAACTTGGAGCAATACTAATTAGGGAAGGAAAATAAAAGATAATTGGGTTTGATAAAGGTGTTCAAACATCACAATTTGATTAGAAATCAAGTGGAATGTAAAAAAATTGGATGAAAGGTAAAAAATTTAGGAAAACGAGAAAAATAAAATTTTTGGAGATGTAAAAAACACTGTTTCACCTTCCAGAAGACTTGTTTTTATCCAATTTTGTTTGTTTTTTGAAGAAAATAAATATTTTTTCACTTGATGCAGAATGCCAAGAATTTTTTGAAATCAGAAAGTCGTGGTGGGAAAATTTTGTAAAATACGAAGTTTGCTCAAAAACACTGAATTGTTATTTTCTTTGACAAATGAAAATCTGAAAACCTCCAAATATGGAATTTTTTATTTGAAAAATATCAAATCTAAAGATTTTGACACTTTATTATGTAAAATTATCTCAAATTACAATTATGCAAAGGTTCATATCAAAGAATACATTGATCAAAGACTAGTTAACAAAAGAAAAAATACTTTTTTTTCTATAAAAAATACAGTAATTACAGTACTACGAAGCTCATAAGTAGTAGTGTAAAACAAACAGAAAATGGCAATAAAGTGCAGGGAATACAATCGTAAATGCAGAGTTTTGATTACACCAACAATCGAATAGGTATTCGGGTTAAAACTTTTGGGTAAAATACGGATTCCAAAAACTGTTTAAGAAAAATTGACAAAAAATTTTAAAGCAGATTCATCGAGAAAAGCGTTCGTAATTATGCAAAGAGAGATTCGGTACAATAAATAAAAGAGTCCAGGAAATTTGTCATCCAAAAATTTTTTGATTTTGTCTATGTGGATTCGAACTTGCAACAATTTGAGTGAAAATCGAGCTCACTACTGCGCCATCGTGAAAAGGCAGAAAATTTTGGCGTAATGTGCAATGAAAAAGTTAAAAAAATGTGATTTCAAGAAAAAAATTACATTTCAGCTTTTTGGATGACCCATTTTCTGGACAAAATTTAAAAATTTACAAAAAAAAAAACAAAATTTCAAAATTTTTCACAGAAAGTTCAAATCTCACTTTTCCATCCGAAAACCCCTCTGGTTATAATCTTTCCTTCTTTCCTAAGCTTATAGCTGTGGAGGGCTGACGGAAGGGTCCCTGGAGCCGGAATCCGGCGAGTCTTTCCCATTTTGGCCGAAATTCTGTTGCTGTTGGAGAAGAGTCTGCAGTTGTGTCATCATCTCCAAACTGTTGAAGGCGGGATTCGTAAAATTGGCGGGGTTGAACATTGTGGAGAGTGAGGGAGGGGATTGATGGGAGCCGTTGAAGTCGAGTTGGGGCTCTTCCGACTTTTCTTTCTTGCTCATGGCTTGGTCGGCGGCCTCTTTTTTGCGCCATTTTGTGCGACGGTTTTGGAACCAGACCTGAAAAAAGGTTGATGAGATGAGAGAATGGGACATTGGCGTCCTAGTAAAAGTAGTTTTGGTTGGATTTTTCACATTTTCAAAAAGTTATGGCACTTTTTTTTGTCATAGACCGCATTTTCTAAACAAAAATTTTTTTTTGGAAATTTCGAAATATCCCGGTCTCAAATCAAAAATCTGGTAGGTTTAGCTTGAATAGTATGCTAAACACATCATTAGATAACATAATATCCATCCTCGTTGCTATCAATAACAATACAAAAGGCAGTTTTTTCCAGCCCGGCCAGTTTTTTGATTTTCCCAAAAAATCTCAAATTTTGAACGAGTAAATTCGAATATGAAAAAGGCCTTTGTGTCTCTGAAACTACTAGGCATTAGCTTTAAAAAAAACTAGTAACCATTTTTGTACCTTATCTACCTATTTCTTTGTCACCATTTCTTTCACACCCTCATTTTTTTCCGAAATTCCCGACTTTTCCACAAAAAATTGCAAATTTTGGACTCAACGCTTCGAGGCAAGAAAATTAGTTTTAATGTGTCAAAACTACAAGTCATAAGCAGTATAACAAGGCCAAAACCATCTCTATACCGCGCTATACAAAATAGTTATGACCATTTCTTTCTGACCCTCAATTTCCTTCGAATCTCCAAAACTTCCCGCTGATTTACCCCTCCGAAACTCCCATGCCCGCTCGCCTTGAACTTCCTAATAAGCTAAAAAGTAATTTAGACATTCCCAACCTAATCCATCACGGCGGTTACCTTCCCTTTTCGCTTATCCGCCCGTTTATTCGTGTTATAATAGCCGGCTCATAAAAAAAATCCGCCTTTTCCCTTGATTGGTTGCCGCCAAAACCCCCTTTGAAGACGACGTTCAGTGTCGTTTGCAGCGATTTAATATCGTTTAGAAGATAATCGAACGGGATAATACGATGTAAATTACTGTAGCTTACCTTCACTTGACTCTCGCTCATGTTCAATTCCCTGGCCAATTCCGCTCGCTCTGTGCCGGCTAGGTACTTGGTCTGTTCGAATTTTCGCTCCAGGGCATAGATCTGAAATTTTGATTGTCTATTTTTTTTAAATTGAGGGTTGGAAATTTTTGCACTGTGCAAAATTTATGCTCAAAATAGACTAAAAATCCGCACTGTGCAAAAAATTAGGGTAAAATGAACTAGGATTTTGCACGGTGCGCGAAAAAAATTTTCGCACAGTGCAAAAAAATGAAAAAAAATGAAAATTCATTTTGCAAATTCAAAAAAAAATTTTTTTTTGCACAGTGCAAAATTTTAGTTGATAATAAGCTAAAATTTTGCACAGTGCAAAATCGTAGGCTAAAATGAACTACGAATTTGCACAGTGCAAAAAATTTGATTTTCTGAGTTTTAACGACCGGTAAATAATTTAAAAAACATGTCAAATAATCTCTGGCAACACTGACAACTATTTAGAGTCCAAAATTCTTACCTGTTGGCCCGTAAAAGTGGGCCTTGACTGTTTTTTGTTCATCAGCACGGAAGAGGGCGATAGTTGATGATGCGAATGCAATAATTTCATGCTATCCGCCATTGAGCGGATCGGGAGCGGGGCGGAGTGGGGTCCTCCGAGGCCGGCAGTGGTGGGGGGCGACAAGTTTCCGGGCATAAAATTGGCCAAAACTTGTTGGAAGGGGTTGTTCAGCATTCTCGCTGAAAATATCTTCATTATTTTGACAAAGCAAGGGTACTGTAACAAAAATTTGACAAATAAGTTTTAGTCATCAAATTTCTGCAAGGTTTTATGACATTACTATGATATCATAAAGAGTAATAGCAAGTTTTTCCCACCGAAATTTCATGGTATTGAGAAAACTGAATTGCTGATGATTATATGGTATGTGGAATGGAAAAGTATTGTTAGAAATTTATACAATGCTTTATATAGCGCGCTGTATAGGGAGAATAAATACAATAAAGCGAAGAAAAAGGAGGTTTTATGGGAAAAATCGAGATTTTTGGGCTAAAATACGAGTTAATTTATTGACCAAGTTGCTGAAAAATAGGTAAGATACTATAAGCTAAGCTCATAACAGAATATCTCAGCGAATTTTGAGGGTTTTTGCCTCAAAAATCACGAAAAGCTAGAAAAAATCAATTTTTTAGGCAAAGAAATAAATTTTTTCGAAGATTTCCGGTAAAAAGCCGTGGTTTCGATGTGCAAATTAAAAAATCTATGACTGCGAATAGAATGCTATACAAATGTTTCCATTTTCTTATGAAAAAATTTTTAGATCACCATTTTTTGCCCAGAACTCAGTAAAAATCCGATTTTTTGCCGAAAAAACTTAAAAATCTCAAAAATTTAGGTGATTATCTGCTATCAAATTAAAGCTGATACTATTTCCCGCCATATAAAAGTCATCAAAGTAACTTTCTAAGCATAAAAAGTTGAAAAATCCCAATTTTCTCCCGAAAATCATCAAAAATCTCAAAATTTCCCAAAAAAGTATCAAAACCCCTCAAAAATCTCAAATTTCCCACTAATTTTCCGCATAAACAACTCTGCATTCGGGCCGGGCTGACTGTATTCCAACAAGGAATGGAGAGAGAAAGCGGCGTCGAAATGAAATGCACACAAAACTTTGAAGAGAATGATTCAGAGAGCCAATCAAAAATCATTTTCACGCACCGAAATGAATTGAAAAAGCATCGGGCGAACAAATTAAAAATGAGAAAACAGATATTATTGAGAACACGGTCGCTCAATAGCGGACACAATTCAATTATTTAAAACGGCTTCTCTCTGCTTGTCTCTCGCGAGCGTTCCACGATGGGGAAATCAGACGGCGGAACGTGCGGAAAATGAGGAGGTTAATACAGTAGGTCGGACGAATTGGAACCGTATTTTAGGCGGGGAAATTTCAAAAAATGTTTTTTTGCACAGTGCGGAATTTTGATTTTTTTTGCACGGTGCAGATTTGCAAAGAAGAATTTTGCACGGTGCAAATCATTGAATCTTTGTTTGAACGATGTGGCAAAAAATTTTTTTTTAATTTCGGAAAAAATGTTGCACGGTGCGAATTTTTGGTTTTTTGCACGGTGCGGTCCAAATAATTTCTGCACAGTGCAGATTTTAGAAAGAAAATTTGCACGGTGCGAATCACTGAATTTTGCACGGTGCGAAGATTTAAAATTTTTTGCACGGTGCAGTGAAAAAAAAAATTTTTAATTTCGTAAAAAATGTTTCACTGTGCGAATTTTCGGTTTTTTTGCACGGTGCGGTCCAAAAAATGTATGCACGGTGCAGTTTTTCGATAAAAAAATTTCTGCACGGTGCAAACCGTAGAATTTTTGTTTGCACTGTGCGGTAAAAAAAAGTTTTTTTGCACAGTGCAAATTTTGGAAAAAAATTGCACGGTGCGGATTTTCAGATTTTTTGCACAGTGCAGATTTCCGACCGAAATATGTTTGCACAGTGCGGGGCTTCTGATATTTTTTTCGCACTGTGCGGATAATTGGAAAAATGTTTTGCACGGTGCGGTATAAAAAATATTTGTACGGTACGGATTTTTCTATTTTTTTGCACAGTGCAAGCGAGCATTACGAATTTCGAAACCAATTCCATTAAAGGCCAAGAAGTTGTTTATTTGGCCGTTCCTGGAATTTAAATTACCTTTTTATGAAGTACCTGGCATTTATACATATTTTAATAAAAGTATAAGCAGAAAGTTTGTTTTGCTACTAATTTGGTGTTTGATGGGCGAGGAGAGGAAGGCGAAGCTCAATAGTACGAAAATGCCGCAATTCCGGGTAAATAACGGGATCCGATTACTGTTTATGAGCAAGCGATTGCGCTGCACGGTGCAGTGAAAAAAATATTTTTTTGCACTGTGCAAAAAAAAAATTCGAAAAATTTTGCACGGTGCAATGAAAAAATGAGGTTAAAATTTCTGCACCGTGCAAAAAAAGAACAATTTTTTTTTGCACTGTGCAGAAGGCTCGAAAAAATTTTTTTTTGCACGGTGCGAAAAAAATAGATAAAAATTTCTGCACCGTGCAACAAAAAAAATTTTATTTGCACTGTGCGGCAATGGCCAAAAAAAATTTTTCTATCGAAAAAAGAAAGTAAACTTCCCAAAATGCTATAAAATAAAGGCAAACAAAAAGCGCAGCTTGTAATTTTTCTCATGATGACATTGACTAGCTAAAGTAATATTGGGAAAGTTGGGAGTGTTTGGATAACCTTCACAATCGAATTCTGGACGATTCAGGAAAACTATTAGCATCCCAAAAATTGATTTTTAGTGAGAAAAAATCAAAAAATCTCAAAATTTTGAAATTTCGAAAAATTTCAAAAAATCCGTCATCATGACGGTTTTTTTAAAAAATGGAGAAAAAACATGATTTTTCACTAATTCACTCATATAATTGCTAAGGCACTTCCACAAATTTTTAAAAATTTTCAGAAAATTTGAATATTCAAAAAATTTGCATAGTTTCCGAAAAAATTTGAATAAAATCGGACCGCCATTTTCCCACATTCCCCTCGCCCCCAAAGACAATGCGATTAATAATCAAAACGAAATGTGTTTAGACATCCAATAAACAAATAAGCGTATTGAAATTTTTAACGCCAAGTGCATATGGAACATTAATTTTGCGACCTCAAAGACGAAATCCATTTTTTGTTGGAAAAAGTTATGAGTAAAACGAAAAAAATGTGTTTTTAAGAAAGCATACGGTAGGAGTTGGGGAAAATGGAGTAAGATGATTTTGAAATTTAGGATTTTGCTTGAAAAAAAATAGTTTTTTTTTTGATTTCCGGGTTAAAAATGTTCATTAGACTTTATTAGTAATGAGGTGAACAATGCTTTTACAAAAACCCGGTTTTTTCCGAAAAAAAATCAGAGTATGGGCCAAAAACGGTTTCCATCGGGCCGCCTCTTCATTTTAGGGGCATTTTCAAGCTCCTTCAATATCTCGGCGTCAGTTTCAAATGGCAAGCTAATATTTTACGGAACTGATATGTGGCCTATTGAGAGTATGGACACCGACTTTGAAGAGAATCTGAGGTTCATGTTTCGAGTACCATCCTTTTTAACTTGGTCCCTCTAAAAGAAATTTTACAAACTTTTTCGCAAAAAAGATCGGTCAATATCCCGGTGTTTCCTGTAACGAACAAGCTGAAATTTTCTGCGATTGATATCTAGCCTGTATGCTGTAAACATGCCAATTTTGAAGAAAGAGCGGAGATTTTCTCTTACAGTACCACCCCTTTTATTTACGGCCCTCTAAAGGTAACTTTACAAACTTCTTTGCCAAAACCAGCTAATATCTCGGCTCTTCTAACAGCGAAGGAGCTGAAACTTTCAGCCGATGATTTTCAGCCTGTATACTGTAAGCGTACCAATTTTGAGGAGAATCGGTGATTCCCGTTTACAGTACCACACCTTCAATATTTAGGGCCCTCGAAAAATCCTGACAGTCACCGAAACCCCTCCAGAACCTCTTCAAACCCCTTCGTTGAGCACCTGTATTCAAGCTGACCTGCCCTTCGCATCTCCAACGGTACAATAAATCAAATTACAACCCTCCGATCGCATTATGCAAATTCGCGATTTCGATTTCGCTCTGTATTTCGGACGCGCTTAATTAGGCCATATAAACAAGTGGTCGGAAGGACAGATTAAGAGGGCGCGCACACAGAATGGGCGGCTGATTCGTTTCCACTCTTTTTTCGAGGACAATGGAGAAATTAGAATTTTTAATTTTTTGGCCAAATGCGCGAAATTTTCGAAATTTGAGTGAGAAATTTCGAACAAAGCAAGTTTAGAGGCTGAGCTTAAAGTCGTATTTAAAAAAAATTAACACAGTCTATGGTCCAATGACACCCTTGGACCATAAATTTTGAATTTTTGCCAAAAATTTCAATTGTACCTCTATGGCGCAACTGGTAGTGAGACTGCCCGAAAATTGGGCCAGGTTCGAATCCCACTGGAGAAAAAGTGTTTCTTTGCGGAAAACAATGATCACTGGACCTCTGTCTACTGTACAATGAATTTCATATTCTTCCCTCTGGCTATTTGTCATAAAGATGATATTTTCAACAAACCAGCATTTCTACAGTCATCCTTCAAAATACGATAAAATTAGCGGCTCAATGTTCAAGTTCATCGCCGAAACGGGATCCCTTAAACTCGAGACATCTGGAATTCCATGGCAAAACAATTAAATTTGAAATTTTCATGGATTCCGAATAATTGTGGATTAAAACAAGCAGGCCTGCCAGTTTCAGCTGTTCTAATTAATAAATAATTCCTTTTTATATAATGGGACGGTCGCTATTTTCGGAAAGTATGTTTGAGAAATCGCTGGAAGCGTATGATAAACTGGAAGTGCCTTTGCACCGTGCAAAAAGAGTTTGGAGAGACTGCACCGTGCACTAACTTTAAGAAGGTTTTTTGCGTGGTGTGGGGAATGCTGGAGGGCAAAATTGGATGCACAATGAAGGCTATAATCTACTCTATCAGTGATGTTGCTTTCTTGTAATTTGGTGGAAAATCCACCGCACAGTGCGATGTCGAAAATTTTGCACGGTGCAGATATTTCTTTTAGGCGAATCGCACTGTGCGGAGATTAAAGATCACGAAAAGTCAAATAGTGATCAAGCTATGGGCTACTGCAACAATATTCTCGAATTTTACGCTTTTCAAACAAAGACTCACCGAACGGTAAAACTTTTTCCTCTCTGCACGGTGCAATTCCTACGAATGAAAATTTCGCACTGTGCAGTCTCCAAAAACACTCACTATTAATTGTAAAATGCGAAACAGAAGATTAATCGCTAACTTTCTATTTTAATTTTATTTTTTGACCCGCAGGCTATTAATGAAATCCCATTCGGCCTTTTACTCGGTAATTTGAGCAAATTTCCGGGTTTCAATTTCAACAAAATGATTATTAATGCCTCCATAACGAGGCTTTCTGCGGGCATAATGAGTGAAACTTGACGTCTGAGCGAAGGGTTTCTGGAACTAATTAGGCTATGAAAAGGTTACAGGGAATCGAATTTGAGATGCCCTCAGGGATTATAATAGCCGTGTTTGGTTTGATACTTGTGCTATTTTATTATTTACATTGTCTGTGAGGGTTTCTGAGTAATCCAGAAGCCAGTAAAAAAGACTTGCACTGAGTTTTTGGCAACATTTTCTTTATTTTCAGGATTTTTTTTGGGAGTTAGACCTGATGTCATGGATAAGGTCATATCAAGCGTCAAGATTGAGGTAAGGTCCTGAAAATTGTACAGTTTGTGCACTGGGGAATATATTCAAATCGCTTATAACGATTTTCAATTCTTGCCCTCAGGGCGTGAACTATAACTAATTTATTTTTGGAGATTTTTCCAATTTTTCTTTTTTTTGTTTCATGCCGTTTTCTATTGCTGTGAGTTCTTTGAATACTACTATATTAGGACTACTTTAACTTCACGACCTAATGATTATATTAACACCATATTCATTATTCAGAGTTCTCCAATCTTCCAACTATATCCATTCGAATCTCCGCCAACTTCCCCTCCGCCCAACAATACTCCTCAAAATTGCACCATTAAACCCCGACCCCCTCACATGAAATAAGGACGTTTGGGTGTAACACTGCGGAACATTAACCATATACGAATTAGCCGCTATTATGCGAGCAGTTCGGCGGAACCCCCAAAATAGCGCAAATTCCAATCAAATAAACGGGCTATTGAGCTACAGTAGCGTGCCGGGTGGGGGAAATAACGCAATGTCTGCAATGCAGGCGCCAAATACTGTAGGCGAAACGTATTCTTTTCAAGGAAATCCGTTCTTGCCGACTGCACAGTGCAACTTTTGAATTTTTGGGGCTTTGCACTGTGCACTGAAGAAATTTTGGTTTTACACAGTGCAGTGGTGACATAAGGTTTCAAAAAAAATTCTAGGCGGCTGCGAGGTCATAATAGTTGTCTTCAGTACGATAATTTTTCATTTCCCCTGTTGCACGGTGCGATTTTGCGATTTTTATCTTTTGCACTGTGCAATTCCAATTTGTGTGAATTGCACAGTGCAGATACTGAATTTTCGAAGTTTTTTATTACTATAGTAATTTTAGACTCACTGTACATCACAAACAATAAGACATTTTCAATTTCACTCTTTGCACAGTGCAAATTGCGCTTTCTCTTTTTTTGCACAGTGCAGTAAAAAAAATTTTGTTGCACGGTGCAAAAGCTAGTCGAAACTAAAACCGATGTTTGTTGATAGTAATAATGTAATCATAGACAGTAGACACTCAAAAATTCCGTAGTTGAAGGCAAACTTTCGCTACATTCTGATTATTGACACTTTTCCCGCTAAAAGTCCAAATATTTACATGTTCATGCAAATTTACTGGATAATTGTCACCTGGACATTTGTCTCACCTACACTTTAGGCCAAAGAGAATACGGTTTTATACGGGAAAGGTGAACATTCATAACGAAATTCGGGGAAACAACGTTTCGCTGCATTAAAATCTGTTTTTTTCAGAATGTATGGTTATTCATTAGTCGAAAATCACCTGGCTACTGTAACAATTAACGCTTGAGCCTGAAAGAGTAAAAAGGAAGTCACGAAACAGAATTTCCTTGTTTTTAGGATACAAATACGGTAGTTATTTTGGTTTATACATACGACAGTGGATATGCAAATTTCTTTGAGATTCTTAGGCTAGACGGAGATTAAAGTTACTAAAAATATCGTAGAATCTATGAAACATAATTTCACCCAGCGTGACGAAAGCTAAAAGCTAAGCCAAAAATCAAATTATATTGTTTTAGTCATCAAATATCAATTTCTTAGTTTTATGCAAATTTGGGCAAACTTCCGCATACAAAGTTTTCTAAGAAAACCACAAGGCCATGCAAAAGATATAGCTCATCTTTAGCTAAGCCAAAATCCATCTTAATCTTCCCGAAAATCCATATTATACCTGTTGTACCCAAAAAACTTTGAGTCCCCGAAATTACGCAAATTTTATTGAAAAAGTGTTGCAAATATCGCAACTAGCGCCACAAAAGCGACAGTACTGCTTCTATCGGTCTGTCGGGAAAAAAACGGCGGATCGTCGCGCCTCGGAATCGCCCATCATCGCTTTGCGACTGCAAGCCGCGGCTTGGGATTTGGTGCGCGACAGCGGCGAGGCGAGACATTTTGATGCGACAATCCGCCGTTATTTTTCCGACAGACTGATAGAAATATAAACTATCAAGCTGTAAACCAATTCTATGACAAATCAAGTGTTTGTCTTCTACTTTATCTATCAATCAACAAGAACGCTGAAAGCATGCTGTTTTGATTTATGCATCCCAAATTGGGTGTGAGCTACGCTAAAAAGAGTAACAAACCAACTACTAGCAAAACTTGAACAAAATCAGCTCACTCAACGGTTTAAAACTCATATTTATATCATATAGTTTATACATCAATATCTCAGCTTAGCCCAATTTATCCTAATTTATTCGCAATTCCCGTGCCCAGCTACTGCTTCAATTTTATGGCACGCACAATAACACAACCTAATCTTTGATTTTCCATCCCCAGCCACCTTGCAATACCACTAAAATGACGCACGCACCGTATCGGAAATTTCAACTCATTTCACGGCATTTATGCAAATTTGACGCAATCTCAGGCCCTCTTTCCGCCTAATTAGGCAGGCTGATGCCGCGGATTATGTAACCTACACCTTCCGGGCCCTCATTAACCGAGATTTTTAAAACAACCTGCAGACCTTATATTCTGAATGCCCAATTCATGCCAGGAAAGTGACAAATCCCCTTTTTCAGAACTCGGAATTCCAAATCAATTTGTAACATATTCAAATAACGGCGGAAAATGAACTTAAAAACCCCTGTAAGAAGCTCAACGCTCGAACCCACCATTATCATCGGCACTTGAAGTGGGAGGCGCGGAGAACGCTTGGGATGCGGGGAATCGCATCGGCGAGACGAGGGAGTTGAGATAGTTCATGTAGAACGCCTAAAAACATGGTATTTTTGAATTATTGTAGTTTTTTTCGAATTTCAAAAATTGTTTTTCTGCACTGTGCAAATTTTTGAAATTGAAAATTTTGCACTGTGCAAGGAAATTTGAGCAAAAATTAGCCCATGAAATTCACAAATTACAAGTTTTTAACTCATTTTAATACAGAAAATTTAATTTTTTCCTTTCTGCAAAGTGTAATCCACATTTCTGTTGATTGCACTGTGCAAAAAACAAAATACTTTTTGTGCACTGTGCAGATGACAAAAGCAGATTGTAAAAAATTAATTACCACCCTATAATAGTCAAAAATCGGTTATGATTACCCACTTATTATTTATACAATGTCGCACAGTGCAATTTGTTAAAAAATCCCTTGCACGGTGCAAAAAAACGAAAAAGGGTAAAAACGCACAGTGCGATAAGAAAAATCAAAAATTTGCATTGTGCAAATTGCCTACGGCTATAAAATATGTATGGTGTGAAATAAAAATTTCAGGAAATTCATATTGCAGTAAGAAAAAAAAAATTTTTTGACTGCACTGTGCGAAAACGAAAAATCAAAGAGCTGCACAGTGCGTCTACAAATCTTGCAAAATTTCACAAAATGTCCCACCTGGAACTGCTGCAGCTCCGCCGGACTGCTGATGCTGGGAATGGCCGGCGGAAACATGAACGCCGGCGGAGTTGTGGGCTCTTGGCCATTCTCGGAGGCCGGCGTTGCGCCTTGAAACATGGTGGTCATGACCGTCATCAGATCCGCCAACGACTGATTCCCGGAGCTGGTGGGCAATTTGGGCTCGAGCTTTTCGGCCAATGTCATACGATCCTCCGACTCCTTGGCCGCCAAGTCCACGGGGTCGTCAATTTTGGGGCGTTTGGCGATGCGGTCGTCGAGGAGGCGGTCCAGACCGTTGCGTTTTCGCGAGGACTGCAAATTTGGGGAAATTGAAATTTTCGAAAAAAAAAATGATTTTTCTTGGAAAAAAACAAAAAACAAAAAAAATTTTTAACTTGATAAAGATCTAAAAATGAAAAGCACTTTTCACAAAAAAAAATTTTTTTTGTAAATTCAAAAAAAATGTTTTTCCCCAAAAAATCCCGAAAATTCAAAAAATCCCAACAACAATTCGCCCCGCTCCCAAAACCCTCCAAAAATAATAGTCTCACCTCGTGTTTTGCAGTCAATTCCTCCTTCTCTCCGCCCTCGGCGTGTCGCCCATTCGTTTCGCGGGCGGCGGCTGAGAAGTGGGCGGAGTCGGGCGCTGATTGGCTGAAATTTGGGAATGAGTTTATTCGTGCAATGTTTGCTCGCAAAGCGGCCCCCGAAATAGATGGAGTAACAAGTAGTCGCGGACAAAAGAGGATCTTTGAGAAATTTTTGGAAGATATTATAAATTGTACTGTAATGTGATGTTTTTGGCGGAAGAAATGCAATTTTGGTAAATGCGGGCAGAGTGATGAGGAATAAGCGGGTTAGTTGAGCAATGTAGGGCTTGAAACGTGATTTTCCGAATAATAAATATGATGATGAATGAGTTTGTGCGGCCTTAAAATAGATTTCTTCGAGGAACTAGCGGGTTTTGAGGAAAAATGACGAGTTTTTTGGAAGAATGGTAAAAATGTAAAGTCAAAGGTGAAAATGAAAAACATTTAAAGACTGCAGAAGAAATCGGGTCAATTTCTTTTGCTGAAAAAGGCTGAAGAAATCGAGAATACGTCAAAAAAGCCAAAAAATTACAAATTTTTACAAAAAAATTGAAAAACCCGTTCTTCCAGGCCTGAAACAGGATGAACAGAACTTATATAACTATAACACGCGCTCAGAAACATAGCAGAAAATTCCCCATTAATTTAAATTTTTTTCGCCCAGCCAGAATCGAACCCGCAACTTCAAAACTTCAGTCTCACTACCCGTTGCGCTATGTCGACACATTTTCCAAAAAACATTTGGTATGGATTTCTAGCCTCATTTTGATTGTAAAAAAACTTATTTCTCAATATTTGATTGTCTCGCTCAGTCGGGATCGAACTCACGACCCCAGCTGCCAATCTCACTACCAGTTGCGCCATCCGAACACACTCTTCCAAAAATAGTGCGATCTGAATGTTGGAGGGTTTGTTGTCCGAAATCCCCTAAATTTATTGCTTGGACACCATAAAGACCCTATGTAATTGCATAGTAATATCATAGCATTCGGAATATCAATAGCAATGTACCGAGCGGCGAAAAACATTGTAAACCAATAAAGTACAGAGAGACAAGAAGCTGGACTTATCCTCGAACTGCGTTTTACATTTTTTCCGAGACAAACTAACAGTAAAACAATGATTACACAATTAATCAAACTGTTTGTGGTGAATAAGAAGATGTACAAAGGGAATGGAGGCATTTACGAGGATCGGTTGTCTTTTATTGCGCGAATATTTTTATTGAATCGCGGTTTGGTCGTAAATTTGCGCCGGCTAATAAGTATATATCATAATACCCCTCGCCGCCAAAGTCGGCGGTAATTGTTTCCGTTTTGCAAGGTGTCCTTTCCGAGGGCTTGGGGAAGGTGTTGTGGGGACCCATCGGGAAAGATGGGCTTGCAAAGGCAAGGTAAATGCAATGAGAAGAACTAATAATTAAAAAAAATTTTTTTTAGTGAAAAAACGATTTTCTGCCCTGCCAACGCTCTTCATTTTACATGCACTCTCAAAAAAGCTTGTTCAATATCTCGACCGTCCCTGCAAGCGGTCAAATTGAAATTCTTTGGGAAATGATTTACCTCCCATTTTGTGACCTTTTTTGCACTCATTATTTTCCCGACGTAATCAGTCTGTCGGGAAAATAATGTGGATTCACCGGCCAAAAATTTCTCCCCATCGCTTTGCAAAAACTTCCCGCGGCTGCAGAGTTGGTGCACAGGGGGCTGTGAGGAGAGACATTTTGCTGCGAAAATCCACATTATTTTCCCGACAGACTAATTTTGCGGTAAATTCTGGGGAATTCTTGGCCTGATATAGTTTCTGTGATGTTTTCTGAGCTGTAGAATTTACTCAAGTTGCTTGCGGCACGTGTTTTAATAATTATACGGGTCAAAATGAACTTTTGTCCCTTCTTTTGGCAGTTATCGACCTTCATTTTTGCTACAGTACAACTTCAAAAAGCGCTATTTATTTCGTTTAAATATTCCAATAATATGTCAAAATCTGGCCTATTTTTACAACTAACCTCAAATTTATTCATGTTCGTATTCCAAACAAACAGTTCTCTTCGCCACACGTATTTCCCATATCATATGCACACACTTTCAATTCAGGTTAAAACATGTGTGTTTCTGGCAATCGCCGGCCTAACCTACGCTCTTAATGAATTGCCAGACTCGCATACTTTTCCATTTTATGCATTAGAAACAATCTGCTTGTTCTTTGAGAAAAAAGTGCATGTATTAGGTTGGCAACTAAGTTATTGAAATTTTTGACTGCTTTTCTTTTTGCCACAACCTTTAAAGGCTTGACAGTCAGCAACTATAATACCCACTATTAGTAACAACAACACAAGCCTTATCATCTGAATGTGCAGTGGCACCACCAACAGAGAAACCAGGGAACTTAGGCTTAGAAGATTTCATTAAGCCGGTTTCTAGATGTTCTGTTATACTGAAGTTTTTATACCTTAGATCGTACGCAGCCAAATGGGTGTGATATCCGACACAGAGAGTAACATAAGTATTTCACAACACTAACGAAAGCAAAGTCCATTTTGACTGTTTGATAATTTTCTACGATCATTATTTCTATCGGGCCAAACAGGCATCTCGACGTAAGTGGATATTCTAGATTTCGTTTTGCCCGCGGCCCGAATCTTTTCTATCTCCCATGTAAACATATTCGGAGGAGTGATATTCTGTGCTGGTAATTTTCCCGACACCATAGCGCTTAAAAAATTTGCTAAAAGCTTTAAAAATGCTTTCATCGGGTATAAAGGGTCTGTTCGGCCTTAACTTCAGAATACCGCGCCTAAGCTCGCTGGCTCCTGTACGGGTTTTTAACAAAGAGAATAGACGTCCCTTTTCAGGGCCCTAGATTTATCAGCGGCACAAAGGTCTTGAGAAAAACAGCAACTACTCGGTTAACTTTTTGGGAGCCACTAGGCAGGTCATGAAGATAAATTCGGTCGCGACTTTATGTCATGCTCCAAGAAGGAAGACGGTTTATGCTACTATTTGGTTCGTAGTGAATAGCTCTGTCACTACCCGAAGAGTTAACCGCGCTGCCTTCTTTAGCGTCTCGTGCAACACCTTGAAAGACAGCCTACCGCCTAATTTTAAGCGAAGCCGTAAAAATTTCTATTGATCCTTTTGGGACAAAATGTTATCACAAGACTGTTGAAGGTGTCCTGACGTTGTAAACGTTGCACATTAGCATTATGTCATTCGAGTTCCAAACGCATTGCATGGCACTGAAAAATGACCACTCAAAATTGCTCTGATTCAAATTTAAGGTACTACACCAACACGCGAGCTGCGAGTTTGATGCCTCTGGGTTGGATAGTACTCTAACCCTACTACAGGTGGGATAGTGTGATACTAGCCATACTGACTTAAGAAGGTCTGTGGAATAATGCAAAAAAAATTTCAATAACTTAGTTGCCAACCTAATATAGCGCAACTGATAGTGAGTGGGATTTGAAGAGTGGCGAGCTTGATTTTGAATATGCGAAAAGCGAAAAAACGCCCAAAAAAGGTTCCATATGCAACAAAAAGCATAAAGAATTGATTTTCAACATTTTTAAAGAGATGTGCTCTGATAGCGCGATTGGTTGTGAGACTAACTTTTGGAGGGTCGCCGGTTCAATTCCAAGTCGAACAAAATTTCAAAAATGATATAAGCATTGAACTTCTTGCAAAACAGATAATTTTGAGACATTTTAAAATGTGTTTGGGCCACTAGGCATACTGTAACATGCCGGTTTACTAAAAAAAACCCTCAAATTCCTATTTTTTATTTATCAGCCCGTCGGGGAAATGCACAACGTTTCTGGGATAATACTGTTGGCCAAGTGAAAAGAAATTTGATTTTATCGCAACACAGTTCATTTTCTCGGCGGCGATGTGTTTTTGGATGCGACAGAGTGCTTATTACCCACCCGACAGACTGATATAACATTTTTTGTAAGCAAAAAAAGTCCGTTGTATTTTGAAAACACATTCGTTTCCCCACCGCCAGCGTTGGAGGTCTAACCTACGCTTGTAACGAATTCCCATACCTCCAGCTTTCCAATTCCCCTTTTCCAACGGCCCGAGGGCCTATATTCGAATTGCGCTCACCTGTGCGAATGTAACAAACGGCCAAAAACAAACTACACCGCTCAGCGATGCAATCGTTTTTCCGCGTTTTCAGCTGTTTCCAAAACGGAATGAAAGAAAGTTTTGGTGTGTCAACAATGCCCGCAGGCCATCTGGCGAACTTCACACCGCTTATTAATAGCAATGGGGCGGCGGAAATTGCCGCGAATTACTTTTGATTGGCCGTGGGAACGGTTCAGGGCGGGGTGGTCATGGCTTTTTTCCTTCCAGAGTTTTCGCGGTGGGACCCGGACTTGAGCCGGGTTTTGTTGAAAACCCCGTAGCTTGGAGTTTATTTGGCCAGAAAAAAGGGCTTTTGTTGAGTAATGAGTAATGGGTATTACTGTAGCAAAATTTTTTAGAGAGGAAAAAATTGAAAAAAACGAAAAATTTCAAATTTTAAAAAATTAAAATTAAGCAAAAAGAAAGTGTAAAAAATTGCAAAAAAATGTGCCTACTATAATTTCAGACCATAAGGTAACCTATGACGTCATAAAATGTAAAAAAATTATTTGCCCGGAGGTCAAAATTGAGGCTTCTAAAAAATTCAGACACTTTTTTAGAATAAAAAAAGCCAAAAATAAGAGTATCTAAAAATAAAAAAATCGTCCTCAGGGCATCAAATATCTTAAAAAATTTTTTTTTCAAAAAATTTCTAAAATTTTTTAATTAATTTTTTCAAAATTAATAATTTCAACTTTTTTCCCTCCAAAATGACTCTTCATAGCCCTAAATTAACTCCTCATTACTCTCAAGGTGCAATTTCCCCCCCGTACAATTCCCAGCACTTTGCTGGAAATCTCATTACAATTCAACAAATGGCCCGAAAACAAAATTCCCAACAACTTTATAAGCGAATTACTCGGTTTCTGCGGAAAAGTTGAAACCCCGCTCTTGGGCCGCAATTCTCAGGCCAATAAAAGTTAATTTATTAAAAATTAGCGGCACTATATGCGGTTTGCAGCTGGATTTTTCGGAATTTCAACCAAAACTGTTTGTTATAAGAGGTGCGGAGTCCAAAATGGGTTTCGAAATGTTCGTGGGAAACGTGCATTCGATATCACAATTGGTATTATAGTTTATGGGACGGGTGCTCGGAATAGGGGGGAACTTTCGGAACGCACGGTGCAAAGCTTTCGGGAAACGCTGTCTGCACAGTGCAGTGGGTAAAAATACCGGTGGAAAGCGTCGCTGGATGATGTGAGAAATGAATTCGTGGACGAGAACAAACGCATTCCGAGTCATTAGGAGAATTGTAATTGAGTTTTGGCCAAATTCGGAAAGAGCAGTGCACAGTGCAGAGTTTCAAAAATATCGCACGGTGCAGCCCGTTCATGGGGAAAATATCGGGAAATAAGAATCTAGGCTATCGCTCAAAGCGTTTTTATGTAGAATAAAAAGTGCAAAAAGTTTTGAAAAAATATTTTAGCCGCACAGTGCAAAAAACAAAAATTTTCTTTGCACAGTGCGGTCTTCTGCAAAAGCTGATTGAAAAATGGTTTTTCAATGCTGAAAAAATCACAAAAAATTTATCAGCATAATTTTTGGGCTTTGCAAATAAACGTGCAGTTAGCAATTTGCCAAAAGAATCCCATTGCACAGTGCAATTTTCAAAAATAAAATTTTTGTTGCACTGTGCGGATTTTCCCCGCTTTTTGCATAAAATAGACACAGAATAGTAAAAAACAATAAACTAGAATTTTCTTATTTTACATTTTTACCTTTCTTTTTCTTGATTTGCAGACAAAATTGAGGTGATATCGTATTTTCCATTGGCACTTGAAAATTCATTTTCAATTGATGGCTTCTCGTCCACAGATCCTGTCGATGAGGCTGCTGGAGATGGCGATTGCGGCATTGAACACTGAAAAAATCTTTTGCAAACAAGAAATTCAATTTTGGCACTCTACAATGAGAAACAAAAATTTTTTGTAATTGCACAGTGCAATAAAAAAACTTGATTTTTTGCACTGTGCGTTTGAAATTCAGAACAAAAATTCCGATATATCGGTAAAATACGAGGGTAACTGCTTTACATTTATAATTTTTGAAACTTTTCTTGTTTTCGCACCGTGCAAAAATCAGAAAATTTTAGTTGCACGGTGCGGAAAAATGATTTTATTTTTTCTGCACTGTGCAGTGAAATTAAATAATTTTTTTTTAAAAACAGGTAAAATACGATCTATTTTGTGTACACTTTTTAATTTTGCGACGTTTTTTTCTTTGCACAGTGCAAATTCCAATTAAAAATTTTTTTCGCACAGTGCAAAAAAAATTTTTTTTTTGTGATTTTAAAATAAGAAAAATACGAAAAAAACTTACAATATTAGACGAAGAGGCTGTGGAGATGGGAGAGGACGAAAGTTCCGGCCGATTCTCGATTGTTTCAGCCCGCTGAATCATTGAAACCGGGCCAGTTTGAGGGCGGATTACTGTAATTTTGGCAGATTTCCTAAAAAAAATTAAAAATTTATTTTTTTTATCAAGATGACGTCAAAAATTAAAGCTCCGCGAAAAATAAAATAACCGATTTTTCGGTCGAAAAATTTCAAAAAAAAAAAAATCTAAAATTAACTTTTTTTTCCGACAAAAATTCAATTTGTAGGAAATGACAACACTAATTTTCGACTATCGGAATTATGCATAAGTCTTCGGACGTCAAAAACTTGAGATCAAAACGCGAATTAACAACGTTTACACCCCCAAAAGGGGATTTCCCAGTGGCCGAAATCTCGAAATACCATCGACTACGGACTTAAGCTAATTAATTCCTGCTGAGAATGGGATATTTGTCATTTTGGAAGAGAGGAGGGGAATTAAATGATTAGCGAATTATGTGTAATTAAAATTTGGTAAACATACATTCGAGTGGCTTCCATTATATCACTCGGATTTAAATTGGCGGATAAAACGTTGGTTAGTATAATTTTTCGTGGCATTTGCTTTGTAACGAGAAGGGTTGTTTTAGGGCTTCTGTCAGTAAAGGTCAATTATACGGTGAGCGGAAGACTTGACACATCGAAAATTCTTTGGGAGAAACACTTGACACATGTACCAAAAAATAAGGAAAAGACTTGTCTCCGACTAAAAAATGATTCCCAGAGGCTTCCTGAATACAGTTATTAAAGTTTTATAAAGAGAGGTACACTTGACACAATTTTTAATATAACGAAGGGAAGACTTGACGCAAATAAAAAACACCCCGAAAAGTTGCTAAAATCCTAAAATACAAGTTTTAAGGGCCACCGAAAGACTTGGCCTACATAAAAATTATCAGAGAAACACTTGACTCATCACAGATACTCATTGGAAGTAACAGTTGACGCAAAAATGACGTCAAAAGCACAACCCTCCCTCGAGAAATCTGACAATGACTTCATTCTCCAATTACTGTAGACTATGAAATTTGCGAATAAACAAGTCTATTAGCAGTTTCATCACCCATTTCACCCGCGAAACTCATCACATTGCCGCAATATAAATACTTTAATGAGGGTAATCCCACATAATTCGCGTGACTGCTGAGGGTGAAATCAAATCTTAGAGACCAATTTGTCGGGGTTGAAGTCAAAAGATGGTCGAAATGTGAATTGAAATGGAACATGTAATCTGTTTGTTGTCGACGACATTTCAATGACGGTATACACCCAAAAGTTTGAAGCGTCGATTATTTTTAGATTGCACATGGCCTATAGACTGTCTAGTAGTCAGTAAAAAATGGACCTTGTGTGTTGCCCAGGCAGTAGAGATGTTCAACGACCTCTATTGTAGGAGAGCACGTACATATAGTATAATATATGTCGTTGTCCGTTTGCAAAGTCGCTGAGCCATTTTGCAACATGGACTGTCAAAAAACAAAAGTGCAAATTACAACGTTTTAGCTCACACTTTGCTTGGACAGCTGGGATATTGAACAAGATTTGCTGCTGAGAGAGTATACAACCTGTGGAGAGGATAAGAGAAAAAAAACTTTTTGAACATATCTTGCCTTGTTTTGTGCGGAAAAATTTGATTTTTTGTGAAGACATTACTCTCCCCCCTGGAAATAACTATGAAACTTTTCAAGCCAAAATATTTTACGTGAGACACACGTCTAAGAGAAAACAAAAACAAGGATAGAAAACTCTTCAAGCTGGCTTTTCGTCACAAATAAGGGGTCCGAGAAATCTCATATGACTGATCTATTGGCCAGCTAGTTTTAACCAATAGAAAAAGCCTATTGCACGGTGCAAAAAGCAAGAAAATACCAAGTAAAAAGTAAAAATAAAACTTTTGTTTTTGCATTTCGACGAAATCACCGCCAGCGACTTTGCGAACGGACTAGTCCAATAAAAAAATAATTTTTCCGGTAAATGTTTGGACAAAAATCCAATTCGATCTTCCGTCGGACACCGCTCATCAAGACCAACTTTTTAGAGCCTTATTTCCAGCCAGCCCTAACAGTACCTCCTCAATAATCAATACTCCCCGATTAACACCAATAAACCGCCTTTCATTCCGTCTATTACCCCCTTTCCAGCTCGCCTATTTGGCCGCTGAAAAAGACTCATAAGTCCATGGAAACAATTAAATGACCATGAAAATGTGGGGCCATTTCCGATAAATTCGAGTATTTGCAGTAAGTGTGTATTAATTACATTCGGCCGGGGCAGTAATAATAATTCGTTTTATGCAGTATCATTACACCTTTTTTCATTCGCCTCCGGCGCTCTTTCGGCCTCTGGCCAGTTTTATTTGTTTTCGACGCAGGTTTCGAAACTCCATACAGTTCGTTGCCCTGAGGGCAAATTGGCAGTTTTAATATTTAACGATGACAAAATTGTAGAATACGTTACGAGGCCATAAACAAAGTTTGATTGTAAAAATTTCCAAAAAATCTGTCATATTGAAAAAAATGAGTCATTATGACACAAATTTCAAAAAAAACATAAGACCAAAAAATATGTCATTATGACAAAAAAATCATGTCATCATAAAAGAGTAGGGGTATCAGTTTGTCGGGAAAATAATGTGGATTTGTCGCGCCTTGGAATCGCCTATAATCGCTTTGCGACGGCTGATTTGGTCTGCGACAGTGACAAGGCGAGACTTTCGTTGCGGCAAATCCACATTATTTTCCCGACAGACTGATAGCAAATCAATTGGGTCGTGACTTTTCGAGTTCGTTACAACACAACATCGGTCCAAACGGAGCATAGGACAGGTGGATGCCCAAACAAGGTTGTACGAGACCTCCAAGACCCTTTGCTCGGCGGAAATTTGGTGAAGGCTCGGGGGGAGACTTACAATATTACCACTTTTCTAATTTTAATTATTGCTAACCCTACTTTTCTAAACCTTGAGATGTTGGATAAGACCAAAACTTACTCTAAAAAATGAAGAAAGATAAGTTTTACCTAGATATTATAGATGTGGCACATGTAAAATACCTCAAAATATGTGATAAACTACAGTGGGAGATCTGATCCAGTGGCAAAAAGCGTACCGTTTTGCATCCGTGAAGTATCAAAAATGTGGCAAAATGCTTCCATCTCCAAGTGAAAAAAACTCGGATTTCAAAAGCGCGCTCGCTCTTTTTGTGAGGGAAAAACCTTCAAAGCGACGTCTTTTCACTTGGAGAGGGAAGCATTTTGCCACATTTTTTATGCTTCCCGGATGCAAAATCGTACGTTTTTTGCCACTGGATCAGGTCCCTCACTGTATACTAGGACCTGATAAATCTAATTGGTTCTATTAAGTAATCCTGCTCCAAGCCTTCTCCATGCATACAACGGCAAATTGAGGCACCGCAAAGTATCGTTGACCCGAAAATTTGTAGCGCCTTAGCCTCGGCATGACTTGCTAGGCCATTATCGGCAATAGCTCGTTATTTAACCATCAAATTTTCTTTGAATTTTACATGAATGCTGTACCTATGGCGTGCGTGAATAAAAAGTTTTGCTTCGGCTTTGAATCTAATTGTAAGTAGTTTTATTGCTCCAAGCCTTTTCAATTCTAGGGTCAAATAAAGCTTTCTAGAGACGAAAAAAGCCATTGTTCTATATTTTTCTGGAAGTCGACATTAAGACGCTCAAAAATAAGTCATCAAATTTTGCATCGTAATCAAAATATCGACAAATCTCAAGCTCTGCAGCTCTAAACTCCCACAAATCGCCACCACCCCTCTCTCTTCCCCAACAATAGCGATATTTACATGAACTCGGCGCAAGATACGATTAACTGTAACTGTAAATACGATGATTAAACCGCGGCCCCAAAACAATCCAAAATAGCGGCACGTAAATACTAATAAAATATGATAATCATTATAATAATTACATCGCGAGCGAAAAAAAAACAATAATTCGCTTCCCATCGTCCCCGTATTACACTTAATTATGGTAAACACAAAGTGTAAACACCGAATAAACGGTGAAAAAGTGCGCTGGGCCGCCGGCTGATAATGCGGAGATGATGTGCGGGAGTGGTAGACAAATTATTTGTGCGTACTTATCAGTCTGTCGGGAATAAATTGATTTACTTTAAGATAAATATTTGCGAATTCCTTGCTTGCGTTTTGCAGAAACGACCAAGATTTTTTTTTTTCAAAATGCTTCCCTCTCCAAGTGAAAAGACTTCGATTTGAAGAGCGCGCACTTTTTCCTCACAAAAAGAGCGGGCGCGCTTTTGAAATCTGAGTTTTTCACTTGGAGAGGGAGGTATTTTGCCACATTTTTTGATACTTCCTGGATGCAAAATGGTACGTTTTTTGCCACTGAATCAGGTCCGCCACTGTACACGGTCATTTTTTCGGCTTTCCCTAGCTTTTCGGTTGTCTCCCTGATTATCAGGCATTTCGTGGTGGGACTCAAAAAAACCCAGAAATTTTGCGATTTTTCGGTTTGCAATAGTAGAATACGATGTAAAATGGCACTAGGATAAGTTTTGAAAATTTTGCCATTGGTTCAGCTCCCCCACTGTTTGGCCTAAGAGTGGTTCATTTGTGACCACTCTCCGTATTTTACGTACTCTATCGGCCGCAAAAACTGTTGAATATCTCGGCTGTGCCTATAAATTGCAAGGTAAGACTCTCAGTAACTGAACTGTGGCCTATGTCTGACGTGTCTTCAAAATTTGAAGAAAATCGGAGCGTCGTACTTTGGGTACTTCTCCTGTCAATATTTCCCCAGTAGAACACGAAAAATTACTGCTAAGTGACATTTTTTGCCTCACTAATCACGCATTTCGCGTACTCTCTCAGCCGCAAAGATTGTCGAATATCTCCGCTGCCCTTGTAAATTGCGAGCTAAGATTTGCAGCGATTGATGTGCGACCTATTTAGCGATCGTGTGCAAAGTTTGAAAGAAATCGAAAAACTTCAACTTGAGCTATATTATACTTGAGAGCACTAACTCCAAATTGCT